GGGGGGGGTTCAAATCTTATGTGTAGCATTTTTCGATTTTTTTGGATCTCGTTGTCAGAATTTCTGACTTCGCCACTGATGAAGAGTAACCGAAAAGGTTACATGACAGAACAAGCATGAGGATTTTCATCACTGAAAATCTGAGGAGGATAATTAGCATACTCCATATAGATATAATCCTTTGGATGCAAATATTCATTTTTCTTGATGTCTGTTGTTGTTTTATCATCTTCTCCTTTGCTTTCTTCTTGTTCATTTCCTTTCTTTTCTTCTTCTTCTTTCTCCTTTTTCTCTTCCTCTTTCTTCTCTTCTTCCTTCTTCTCTTCCTCCTTCACTACTATAGCTTGCTTCCCGGTTCTCTTGTACACGTCGCTCACTAACTTTTCTGGATCAACGACGCCTTTTACTATAACTTGATTGTTTCCTAGGTCGGTCGTAACAGATTCAACTCCTGCAATACATTTTCAAGTACGTTACGATGTGAAGATTCATCCTGAATTGACTAGTTTTACGCTGGCTATCAGCCTACAAGTTCGTTACAGTAATAATGCACGATAATACATTAGATATGTGGATTGTAAAATATGGCAACCATATGATACCTTGAATTTTCCGAATTCGTTTCTGCAATGCCTGAGCACATGCATCACAATGCATCTGAACGCTCAACTTAACCGTTATGACCGGCGGAGGCTGTCATGTGAAAAACATACGACATTTTCATGTTAATTTCATCTAATGAGTGACTAGTTATATTGTGAAAAAAGGAATAAAAAGGACAGTATGGTGCACTAAGCTCCCTGTTATAAGAGGGTTGGGAAGGGTCGGACCACAAGGGTCTATTGTGCGCAACCTTATCCTGCATTTCTGCAAGAGGCTGTTTTCACATCTCAATCTCGTGACCTCCCGGTCATATGGCAGCAACTTTACCCGTGCACTAAGCTCCCGTTATGCGAGGGGCCGGAGAAAGACCGGACCATAAGAGTCTATTGCACGCAGTCTTACCCTGTATTTTTGCAAAAGGTTATTTTCACGGCTCGAACCCGTGACCTCCTAGTGACAATAACTTTACTAGAGGCTCCCTTCAAAGGAAATATATAGTTTCAACGAGAAATTAAAGATGCCCCAAATATTACTTGGTCAATATGGCCTTGTCAATAATCGTTGCTGTATAAATAGTCTATTTGCTATATGCAAAACTTGCTATTGCTTAAATTTATAACAATTCTCAAGTCTTACTGTTTACAAAATCCAAATTCTTAAAACAGTACCTACATATAAATAGGCAATCTTTCACAATTATATTACTTGTAGTATTTTCTAAAGATGTAGGCCTACATTACTCATTCAAAAATAAAAGAGCTCGTTGTGTACATAAAAGTGTGTATAGACAAATTGCAAGTCTATATTCCATGGCAAGACAGAGCAACTATGATGTACACTTCTAAAATAAAATGCAGATGAATACTACAAATGCAATAATAACTACTATATCTCAGTCCAAACTGAGTCGGAGTTCGATTATATGAATTCTTACTGATCATAATTCACCATGTAAATTCATAGTATGCCAATAAAATTAATAGTGCCGCGAGGAATTACTATAACCCAATCTTGATAAATAGTTATTAGCATTATCCAGTAAAGTGGCGGAGCCACATAGACTCAAAGGATGATCCATTAAACACCCTTAAACAGAAAATTGTGTTAGGCATATAGAAAATTATATACACCCTTAAGTCTTAAGGCCTGTTTGGCCATAAAAAATTATTAATTTTTTTTTCTTTCATTCGAAATCAGTATTTTTTTGATTTTCACTTGAAGATGAATTTCGAAATTTTTCGAAAATTTGAAAAACTCCAAAAAGCTAATTTTTAAAATTTTCACTTCATCGCTCACAAAAATTCAAGAACTGCCCAAAATTATATTCATGTCCAAACACAACTCTAATTTTCATATACCATTTTTACTTTTTCCAAAATTTTACAATTCTTATATCCAAACACCTACTTAAACATCTTTTACGAAATTTTAGCTTCACCATTGTTTAAGTGCCATTAAATCAGAGGGTATGATACCATCACCTCCCCTAGGGGTGGAGCTAGTATGTCAAATACGGGTTCGACCGAATCCAGTAACTTTGATTTAAACTATTTATTTGTCTTAAAACTCCCTTAAATAAATACAAATTATTAATTTAGAATTCAATAGCTTAAACGAACTATAATCTTGAACCCATAAACTTCAAATTCTGGTATCGCCTTTGCGGCCCGCAAAAGCCAGTAAAGGTCAAGACAATTTTTCCAGTAAATTAAAACTTGATCACATGAAATCTTATCATTTCCTAAGCAGGTTTTTCCTGTCATCTTCTTGCCTTTCCTTCTGAGGTGAAAATCTTAAGTTGCTGTCTTGGGATTGTTATTTTATTAGTAGTAATTACTAGCAGAAAAGTACAAAGTATTGAATGCCAGTCCCGTGAATCCCTCTTAGGCCCCATTTCAAGATACGATATGGTAATATTGCAGAGTGTCAGGCTGGCCAGCCACAGTTCTTTCCAAAAAGGTAATATGGCGATATTTTTATTTTTTATTAATCCATTCCAAGAAGAATTATAGTTTTCTATATTTAAAAATAATTTAAATTATATTTTTAACTTGTTTGGCCACGAAAATATTTTCACTTTTTTGCAATAAGATTTTCAATTTTCACTTTAAAATAGAATTTTGAAATTTATAAAAAAATTTCACTAAAATCATTCACAAAAATTTAAAAACAACCCAAAATTATATTTATGTCCAAACATAACTATAATTTTCAAACCATTTTCACTCGAATTTTTTTTCACTTTTTCCCGAAATTTTATAATTCTTATGTCCAAACGCCCACTTTTTATTCTACTCTTTATGAAAAGTTTTAACATAGTCTTACGAATGTTATGAATTATTTATTGTGCCATACTTAGTTTTACAATCTTTGCCGCATAAATTACGGAGGAAACCACTCCCTTTGTTTAAAAATATTCAATATTTATTTAATAAGAAGCACATCCACACAAATGTTATAACTTATTTAAGATTACCTATCTCAAAAGTCTTATGTTCTTTATTAAAGATTCTATCAAATCAAACTAATAGCCTGTTTGGCATGCTGCAAAAATAAGTTTATTTTGAGAAGTATTTTTTTCCTCAAAAGTGTTTGGGTGAGAAGCAGTTTTGTTTGACTAATTTATTTGAAAAACAGTTCAGAAAAGCAATTAGTGTTTGACCAATTCTAAGTTTATTTTTTTCAGAAGGGCTTTTAAAAAACAAAATTGATTTTGTAAAAGTTTGCCGGGCTATAAGATAATCTTTAGATGAATGGAGTAGTAAATAACTAAATATATAAATTTTCAGATATGGCTAGGGAACCCAACTCAAATGTGGGGTAGAATCTCTCTACACCACAACTCTATATATCCTGTAAATCACATTGTAGAATGTGCCCCAGTGGGTAGCTCAGAGACTGTCCTTTTGCTAAATTTACTGTAAATTTTTTGTAATGTTGCTTTCATCGTCAGCAAGGAAACTACAGTCACAAGCTGCAGTTGCCCTATGAATTCACTGAATCTTGATTAGTATTATTTTCTTATAAAAAAAATCATTATATATTTTTTTGGTTTCTCACTATTTAATATTCATAATAGAGTCTAAACTAATTCAGATTCGTGGATAAGAATAATCAAAGAGATTCTTTTTATATCTACATACAAGATTGGAAGGACCCTATTTATCCCAACCATAACTTTTGATAATAAATTAACTTAATCTTGATTCTTATGTTAAAAGAGTAACTTTTTCGATCCCCCTAACAACTTGTTTAATGTATAGTATTGTGTTGTATAGTATTGAACTGTATCGTTTGATGAATACAATGTTTGGATAGAATGTATCGTTTGTTGTTGTTTCAACGCACCAACAATATGAAAAATAAACTTGCAATATTATAAAGAAATATTATGATTCGGGTAAATTTATTATATAAAAAGGTAGGATAAATGATAAAATAAAATTATTTAATAATAATGAAGGGTGAGATGAGAAAAAATGAAAAAATAACGATGCAACCACACCAAATCGGTCGTTACATAAAGTGGCACACTTCGTTGTTACGTAACGACGAATTTAACGATAAGATATAAAAATTAAGTAACAACCAAAACAAACATCATATTTAAAATATTAATATGATAAAATACAATAGGTAACAACCATCTAAACAATCTATAAAGAATAGTTAAATTAGAAGCGGTGAAAAATTAAGTATCTACTCTCTCACACTCAATTTATGTAACAATGCTCAAATTTCAAGAGTCAAACAAATTATATTTTGACCCCATTATTTCATATACTTTTTAAATATTTTGAAGTACTAATTAATGTAATTCACAGTTTTTAAGTGATTTTCAAATATATAAATTTATTTTCTTTTTTTAATGATTTATCTAAATGTACGGTCAAAATTAAGAAGTTTAAATATCTAAATGTATTTAAAAAATTTATAGGTGGATGAGCATAGTTAAATTATTTACCTCTTCTTTCTTCTCTTCTTTGGGCGGCTCCTCTTTCTTTTCATCTTTTTTATCTTCTGTTGGCTTAGGCAAAGGTGAAATAAGTTCCACTTTTCGACCACTTTTCTTTTTAACTCTTTCGAACACTTTGAGAGGATCTGCATTCTTGCCTTTCACCACCACTTTACTCGCCTTACAATCCGCCGTTACTTCCTCCACTCCTGTTTATTTACCATATAAAATATAAAATTATTAAGTCTCTTCTATAAAGTCATGCCTTTTTAGCATATGAATACAAAAAGAAAATAATACTATAATTTTACAATAAAGTTGTTGTCTTGGTCTATATTATAAGCTTTATTTAATTATTATCTTTACAGTTCAAGAATTAATTAATGAATAGTTGAATTGAACAACGTGATAATGAGATATGAGATTGATCAAATATTATATTCTAGAAGCAGAAAAACTATACAGGTCATTAACAAAAGAAAAAGAAAGGATTTAAAAATCCACTAATGAAATTTTATACCGTTAATGCAATTTAACATAGACATATCTCTATAAAAGTATATTCTATAACATCATTTCACTGCAACAGTCTAGTTTTGTTTAGAACCAATTTTTTATGTTATATATAATATATGTTCACTGTAACAATACTTCACTATAGCAACCAAATAACAACGTAATAAACAAGGCAATTATAGAGAAATTTAACTGTATTATTCAGACTACTAATTCACATATTATGAGCAATTATCCGTTATTACCTTTTAAATAACAATATACAAAAATCTTATATTATTAGTAAAAGGAAAATAGTCAAATTTATTTTTATACATTAGAAATTGATCAATTTTGTCTTTAGTCTAATCTTACTAGCTGTTAGGATAAATTCTCATAATTTTAGAAAATTGAGCAAAAGAATTAACCTAAATAATCGCTCACCCAATCGTTTAAATTAAAAATAATCGGCGATTGTATACTACATGTATAATTCATACGGAGTATATAATATGTCTATATGCGTATATAATTAGCGTGTAATCTACATATGTTAACTAAAAAAATTGACCAGTAAATTCGACCGACTATTTATGTAAAATTCCGGGCAAAGTAATACCTTGGAAACCTTTGAGGGATCTGGCAACTTTTCTGGCACAAGCTTCACAATGCATATCAACTTTGAGCACAATCTCTTGAGGAGCCTCATCTTCTTTCTTTTCTTCTTCTTTCTTTTCTTCTACCTTCTTCTCTTCTTCTTTTTTCTCCTCCTTTTTCTCCTCCCCTTTGTTCTCCTTTTAATATCAAAATTCAACATCATGCAAAATTAAATTAAAAAAAATACACACTCTTGATTAAGTCATAAATTTTTTATTTAATTATCTAGTATTCAGAATTCACTACCCAATTAATTAATTACTCAGATTCGGACCACTTAGAGTCCATTTAATAGGATACGTTNTATATATATGTGTGTGTGTGTGTTGCACGAACTTTCCAAAATGTTGTTGTACCCGTATCGGATTCTGAAAAAATACACTCCTTTGGAAAATCCTACACGCATACGGCGACATTTTCGAAAAACACGAGCAACATTGCTAATTATAAACCCTCAATATAAGAGAATAGGACTCCTTACCCTATCAATGTCTACACCAACAAATTATTGAAAAACCAAAACAAAACTAGATTGAGTTATAGATTGTGGAATGTGTTTGAGTGTTTTGAACATACCTCACCCATGTAGTCAAAAGCTCCTAAAATTAATGACAGAGAAAATGAAAGGCTATTCCTTTTTGCCTTCTTTAAAACCTCTCTAAATCCCTCTTTAGAAATATATATTTGTGTTATTTCTCTGTAAATAAGAAGGGGAAGAGGCACATTTATTTAAATAGAAGAAGAGGAAGAAGAAGAGGTAACAGTAGTGTAAATAAATCTGACATAGAATTGTTTAAATTGCAGATTACAACAGAAAGTGGTCCTGTTGCTGACTCAGCTTCTTATAATTTGTGTTTCACATTTACTACAAGTCATTTACGTACTGTTCATTTTAAGACCATGTTTTACGTGCTTTGTTCCTTTTCATTTTGACTGGATATAGAAACTATTACTGCTGTATTTGAAAATTGAACGTTGTGGTTTGAATTGACATAATCTATTGAAAAAAGAATTTAAATTTTGTACTTCTTTTAGTTTGATTTCCTTTTTTTATTTTAAAATAATGAAGTTCAAGATATCTAAAACAGGTTAAAAGTACGCGGTATATATAACAAATATCACCTAGTAAGGGGTTGTTTGGTTTGAAGGCAACTTATGCTGGAATTAGTTACGTTGGAATTAGTTATACTGAGATTAGTTATCCTAGTATTATTTTTTATTAATTGTTTAATATGTTGTATTAATCTTGAGATTGTCAATTTTATTGTTTTATCCTGTGATAACTTATCATGAGATTATTATTCCACCCTCTGACAGTTAATATTTTTAATCTTGGAATAGCTTATCCTAGGATTAGTAACCAAATAAGGAATAAGATGGTACTAAATTTTTAACTCAAGATTATTTTTACTTATCCATCATACCAAACAACCCCTAAGAGAGTGAAAAAGAGCTGGAAATTCTAGTTATTTTTAAATAGTTTAGATAATAGATGGCGTTAAAATAAAATTCAAATTTGTAAAGCTAACATACTTTGAGATTATGTAATTTAGAAGATGAGGTGAAGTCTAGTGTTCTCTGGAACTAAACAATATCTCAAGGTACTATGAAATAATAATCACGATATTGTTTAAGATTGTTGAGTTAGCAATTTATAATCAAGAATGAATTAATCATTTTATTTCACTTTCCAACCTTTAGCAAGTTTTAAAACCTATAACCAAATGTTGTCGTGGAACAATAAGTACCCATTCATCCTTAATTACAAATCTGATGATCGAATCTTAGAAATAAAATTGCATTTGATGGGGAGCACATTACCTCCCATAGTAGCATATTGCAAATCCGAATTAATTGGACCCCAAAGATAATATACCGAATATCGGATGAGAAAAAAATAATATGTTTTAAACATAACTTTTGTAAATGATATCGTTCCTCAATGCAAGGAAGTATACCTAAGAAGACAAACTTGATTTTTTTTTTGGGGTGGGTTGGGGGGGGGGAGATGAAAACTGTAAGGAAAATTGTTTGATACTGAAGTTGGAAGTGGTTTCCTCTCCTTTTCTTGTTAAGATTTGACCGAACATGGGAGATTTCTGTATAATTATTTTCTTTTATTCAAATTGTACACGCATATGAAATCATTTCTGAGATTGATTTTGTCGTCTATTATGTATGTTTAGTTATGTGACATTTTTCATAGTAAAAAATAAACTAGGAGATTTGTAAATAACGTACATGAAATTTTTAAAGGATTATTTTCTTGTATTCAAATTATAAGTGGACATAGTAAATCATTTCGTCCTAGGATATATTTCTTATTGACCTCAATATATGGGGTACTGTCAAGCCCAAAATGACTAACTAAAATGGGACACCAACTTTAAACATAAAGGAAGATTACTTTTTGGATGCAAGAAATATTCAAAGAAGATAGTAAATGGTTGTATTGTTAGGTGAATGGAGCCCATCATCTAATATAGATTTCAGAACAACACTAGAAAAGATCACGAAAGAATCGATTAGAATGGTTCTCGAATTCATTTACTATCTTGAGTTTTCAGGCATATCGCATTTTCACTTGGATCGAGGCTTCTACTCCATCCTAATAAAGATCAAAGGAGTGTGGGAACCTCTTGCTAATTTTTAGAATTTGACATCAGGAAGTATTTTTACACTATTGACAAACATCCACTCATACTAATCTTTAAAGAAAGAGATCGATGATCTCAATTTTTTTTTATCTCATTTAGAAAGTATTTTTCGTCAAACGACTCGTAATAGGTGAGAAGGGTTCTTACTCCGTCACTCGCAGTGTGTTACTATTGCCCTCACCAGACATCATTTACTTACACAAGCTCGATCATGAGATAAGTAGGATCCAACAGAATTAAAAAATTTAATACACATGACCAAGATGAATAAAAAGAAGGCTGACATAGAGAAAAATATTGAAACTAAATGGTTTAATTTGGTTCTTCAGGATTGAAGACGATCTTCTAATCTAAAGAAATAACAAATAATCGAAAAAAGAGAAGCAGATGCGAAATTATGGTTCCCACTTTTTTTTTTTTTCGCGTTTGATATAGCCATCACCAAATGAGTGAATGACATTGACTGGTAGAAAAACATTGTCGGTATAGTTATCTTTTCTACAGTTAACAAATATTTAGAGAGTAGAAAAATTCTGATTAAGCTATATTACTTGCACTATTAGTCGTTTTTCTTGGGGCATTTACGTTCTAACATTATGCACAATCTATTAACACTTGTGTCTCTAAATGAAATGCCAACTTTTCTCTGTACATAAATGGCCTATCTCTGCTTATTTTTTAGTTTTCAAAATTTTCTTTATACTTTATAAAAGTATTGAATAATTTATTTTTAAGATCCAGAATTCAGAAAATACTCTTTTTCAATTTGCACTTTTTGAATGTGTTGGCTTGCTGCTACACTACTCGACTTCCCTCTCTCTCGTCATTTTCCCAAACTTCTTTAAATTACTGTAAGTTTAGGATTTAGAGTTCAGGGTTCAGCGAAGTTCTGCAACATCACTGCATGTAACCAAGCCCTTCCTGCACTAATTTGTGATATAGTAGCTATTAAATTACACCAACACTAATTATTTGCTCGAGTTTTACTAGTTATTCTTATAGAGGACTACTGTTTACGAATCAATGCATCAACACGCAAATAAATTAGATGAGTAACTCTTCACAATATAAAAACCCAAAACGTTTGTCATTTTCTTGTAACTGTTGGCATGTTAGAGATTTTGCAGGCAGTACCGCCGACAATATAAATTCGTGGTCAGATGTCAACTTGCTGGAGTAATCATTAATACTCATACATATGAATCAATGACGGATTCATTAACGGTCGTACTGTGATAGAGTCAAAAAATACTATCTCATTTTTTTTTCATATGTTCAATTAAGTTTTAGTGTATAGAGTTATTCGGTATCTGCACGGACATGAGATAATAAATACTTTTTACAATTAATTAAGATGCACGTATACGGGTAGGACGGGTAGGATTAATTAAGCTGGTTCGAACACCAATTTATTCAAAAGAAAATGCAGAATCTCGAGATTGGGAAACAAAATTGATAAGTCACTTTCTATATCTTGGTGTCTCCCCTATTGTAGGCTATAGCTTTATCTATATGGCATAATAACCTCTTAATCTAATGGGCCTGCCATCACATGGGATACTGGATGTGAAAATTTAACAACCAAATATTTGGGTGGGTGGTACAAGCCTTTCACCCAGGGCTTTTATATCTATACCTCGTTTTGGGGTCACAATTGAATCTATATTCATTTTACAAAAAAATTTACAACCCTACCCACTTTACTATTAACTTTAGGCTTATCGAGTTTGATATTAAAAAAAAATTAGTCTGAAGTGAATTAAGGTCAAATAGGTCTAAAGTGCAACAAATGGTTTCATACACTTAAGGCTAATAAGTGCGAAGTGAAAAATTACACTTCAGATGCACTTACGGTCAAATAGGTCTGAAGTGCAACAAACGTTTTTCTACACTTAAGGTCAATAAGTCTGAAGTAAAAAATTGCACTTCAGATGTACTTAATGCCAAATAGGTCTGAAGTGCAACCAACATGATTTAATGAACTTAAGGACAATAAGTCTGAAGTGAAAAAAAATGCACTTCATATGCACTTAAGGCCAAAAGGTCTGAAGTGCAACCAATATTTTTAGGCACTTAAGGCCAAATAGGCTTAAAGTGCAAATTTGCCAGGAACAGAAATTTGTTCTTCGAATTTTAACAATCCAATATACGATTTAATACCTAAATCCACTCCAAATTAGCTCAAATTTGAAACATAACCTCCAAATATCATCAAGAACAAACTCCACTCATCAATTTTTCAAAACAGCAATAAATCTAACGAACTCATCTTTCAATTAAGAAAAAGAAAAAGAAGAAACCCTAAGCAATAGTAAAAAATAAAGCGCCACAACAGCTCACCACTGTAAAATATCATAAACTATCTTAAAATATGTGCACAAACACCATATAAAATCATTGTTACCCGAAGAAGAAAGAGGAGATTAGTGCTGATTTAAATAGGTTTTGTTAATTTGTGATAGATTAGTGTATTTGGTAAGTTAACCAATCAAGTGAAGCAGAATACTTTACTAGCCCCGCACGATAGTTATTAACCTCGTAAAATCTTTGGACAAATTTGATACATATCAACAACTTTATGTAAAAAGATAGTATTGATAACTTAAATACAAATTTTATACAATGATTCATACATTATACAACATTCAAATAAAAAAATATATATAACTACAACAGAATACAATTTACATACAATTATACTACAACTTGTCTACAATTTCGTAAGTACATGGTATGTCATGTGTTTTTCTTCTTCTTCTTATTCGAGTTTCAATATGAAATTCAGCCAAAATCAAGTATAATCTTTACCAAACACCCTCAAAATTGAGATATAAACTCCAAACAATATTCTCAATTGTTTGCAACAACACCCAATCCAAACAAATAATGATTTTTGAAAACCCAAATTCAATTTCATAGCTTCAAAGCTTTTTAATGGCTGTCAATGGTCAACAATCAGCGTGTGCTCCTATCGTATCCAACTTTTGCACAATCTGGCTAGCTTCTCCATTTTCAAATTCAATATCATATTTGAAGTGGCTCTCTATCATGCCAGAGATTATTTTAAACTCGTTAAAAGTTGTTGGATGATAAAATTTTGTAATTC